GCGGGGGGGCTCCCTCTTTTTTTGGGGGGGTAAGAGGAGTGAGCAGGCAAGCGAGGGATGGGGGGGCATGATGGTAAGCAGTGCTGGGGGGCTCCAAGCCCCCCAAATCTCAACAGCACTGACACACACACACACTCCCCCCCCTAACCCCCCCATCATGGTTACCTGATTGGAACGGGATGTCCTGCTCCCTCGTCGGGATGTCACCCTGCCGTGGGGGCTGTGACACTGGGGTCCCCTCCAGAGTGGCAGTGGGGCTGGGCTGACGAGGTGGCACGGAGAAAAAAGGGTGAAAAGGGGCACCCTCCTCTCCCCACCTGCTCCCCGGGGCGGGGGACAGGGTGGGTGACACCCCACATCACTCCCCACCCACCCCATGGTGGGGTTCATGATCATACTTTGCAGGCCCACGCAGGAGGCTGTCCCCAATGGGGGTGTCACCCTGGGGGTGATACTGTGGCTCTGGTGGCCCAGGCTGCAGCGTGACCCACTGACCGAGCCCATCACCGGGGCGTCGGGTACCAGCTGAAGGCTCAACCTTCCTCCCCCTCCCCGACACCAACCTGGGGCTCTGCGGCCGCCGGCGCTTCCTCCATAGGGGGGCTGCAAGAAGAGATGGTAATTAGTTTCTCTCGACAAGGCATCAGGCTAATGAGCACTTTCATCCCCCCCCGCCCCATCCCCGCAGCTATTTATAGATCCGGGGTCTGGCGGGGGGGCAGAAAAACCCATGGGTGGTGGAGAGACAGACAGCGGGACAGTGGAAAGACAGACTGTGGGACAGTGGGGACAGTGGACAGACAGTGGGGACAGTGGACAGACAGACAGTGGGGACAGTGGACAGACAGACAGTGGGACAGTGGGGACAGTGGAAAAACAGCAGGACAGTGGACAGATGGACAGTGGGGACAGTGGACAGACAGACTGTGGGACAGTGGACAGACTGTGGGGACAGTGGACAGACAGACTGTGGAACAGTGGGGACAGTGGAAAAACAGCGGGACAACAGAAAGACAGACAGCAGGACAGTGGACAGACAGACTATGGGACAGTGGGGACAGTGGAAAGAGAGAGGGACAGTGGACAGATGGATTGTTAGTGGGGCAGTGGACAGACAGAGGGACAGTGGGGACAGTGGACAGACAGTGGGGACAGTGGAAAGACAGACTGTGGGACAGTGGGGACAGTGGACAGACAGACAGGAGGACAAGTGGGGACAGTGGAAGGACAGTGGGACAGTGGACAGACAGACAGTGGGGACAGTGGACAGACAGACAGCAGGACAGCGGGGACAGTAGAAAGACAGTGGGACAGTGGACAGACAGACTGTGGGGACAGTGGAAAGACAGACAGTGGGACAGTGGGGACAGTAGAAAGACAGTGGGACAGTGGACAGACAGACTGTGGGGACAGTGGAAAGACTGTGGGACAGTGGGGATAGTGGAGAGACAGACAGTGGGGACAGTGGAAAGACAGACAGCAGGACAGTGGGGACACTGGAAAGACAGTGGGGACAGTAGAAAGACAGAGGGACAGTTGACAGACTGTGGGACAGTGGGGACAGTGGACAGACAGTGGGGACAGTGGACAGACAGACAGTGGGGACAGTGGACAGACAGACAGCAGGACAGCAGGGACAGTAGAAAGACAGTAGGGACAGTGGACAGACAGTGGGGACAGTGGGGACAGTGGACAGACAGCGGGGCAGTGGACAGACACTGGGACAGTGGGGACAGTGGAAATACAGCAGGACAGTGGACAGACAGCGGGACAGTGGGGACAGTGGAAAGACAGTGGGACAGTGGACAGACAGACTGTGGGACAGTGGACAGACAGACAGCAGGACAGTGGACAGACACTGGGACATGCAGCTCTGGCTGCACCATCCCCTTCACCACGGGCTCTGCTCCCACGTCCCCAACCCCAGCTCCCCCCGGGGCCGTGCCACCCCCAGCAGGGCACCCGATAAGAGATGCCACAAGCCCTGGGGCACCCGGGGGGGTGTGAAAGCCACCCCCCAACCCCCATCCCACCCTCACCTCTCCTCCAGCTCTGCCACACCATCCTCATCCTCCTTCTCCTCCACCAGCGGCTCCCCGATGGTCTCCAGCTCGCCCAGGCTGGGGCCACGCTCCAGCTCCCCTGCTCCTGGGGACATTGGGGACCTCAGTGGGCTGACCCCCTGAGCCTCCCCCCCACAACCCCATCCCGGGGGTGTCCCCCTGTGTCCCCCTACCCCGTGGCCTCCTCCTGCGGCGGATGGAGGCTCGGACGAGGTCGGAGCCCAGGTGGTGGCGGTGGCGCTGGGCACGGGCGTCGCAGAACCAGTCCCCGGTGAGGGTCCTCAGCAGCGCCGGGTCCGACAGCGACTTGCGGAGTTTGCTGGTGGCAGGAGGGTGGCATTGGATCCCCCACCCCACCCCAGTGCCACCAGCCACCCCCGTGTCACCCCATCCCCAGCACCCAAGCAGCTGAGGAAGACACCACCTGGGGCCACCACCTCCCCAGAGGGTTTGGGACCCACGATGCTGGTGGCAGGAAGGTGGCATTGGATCCTACCCCAGGTGCCACCATCCACCCCTATGCCACCCCATCCCCATCACCCAAGCAGCTGAGGAAGCCACCACCACTGGCCCTGGGGCCACCACCTCCCAGAGGGTTTGGGACACCTGATGTTGGTGGCACCCAGCTTGGGCATCACCCAGGCTCAATGGGTGAACCCATCCCCAGGGGAATGGAGATCTGTCCTCAAAGGTGATGGACCCCAGGCTGGGGGACCCCCAAAAAGGGTGACATCGAGCAGGGCATCCCCAGGGGAGTGGAGATCTGTCCCCAGAGGTGATGGACCTCAGGCTGGGGGACCCCCAAAAAGGGTGACATCGAGCAGGGCATCCCCAAGGGAATGAAGCTCTGTCCCCAGAGGTGATGGACCCCAGGCTGGGGGTTCATCTTGTCCCCCCAAAAGGGTGACATCGAGCAGGGCATCCCCAAGGGAATGAAGCTCTGTCCCCAGAGGTGATGGACCCCAGGCTGGGGGTTCATCTTGTCCCCCCAAAAGGGTGACATCGAGCAGGGCATCCCCAAGGGAATGAAGCTCTGTCCCCAGAGGTGATGGACCCCAGGCTGGGGGTTCATCTTGTCCCCCCAAAAGGGTGACATCGAGCAGGGCATCCCCAAGGGAATGAAGCTCTGTCCCCAGAGGTGATGGACCCCAGGCTGGGGGTTCATCTTGTCCCCCCAAAAGGGTGACATCGAGCAGGGCATCCCCAAGGGAATGAAGCTCTGTCCCCAGAGGTGATGGACCCCAGGCTGGGGGTTCATCTTGTCCCCCCAAAAGGGTGACATCGAGCAGGGCATCCCCAAGGGAATGAAGCTCTGTCCCCAGAGGTGATGGACCCCAGGCTGGGGGTTCATCTTGTCCCCCCAAAAGGGTGACATCGAGCAGGGCATCCCCAAGGGAATGAAGCTCTGTCCCCAGAGGTGATGGACCCCAGGCTGGGGGTTCATGTTGTGTCCCCCAGAAAGAGTGACATCGAGCTGGGCATCCCCAGGGGAATGGAGATCTGTCCCCAGAGGTGATGGACCCCAGGCTGGGGGACCCCCAAAAAGGGTGACATCAAGCAGGGCATCCCCGGGGCAATGGAGATCTGTCCCCAGAGGTGATGGACCTCAGGCTGGGGGACCCCCAGAAACGGTGACATTGAGCAGGGCATCCCCAGGGGAATGGAGATCTGTCCCCAGAGGTGATGGACCCCAGGCTGGGGGTTCATGTTGTGTCCCCAAAAAGGGTGACATCGAGCAGGGGAATGGAGATCTGTCCCCAGAGGTGATGGACCCCAGGCTGGGGGACCCCCAAAGAAGGTGGCATCAAGCAGGACATCCCCACCTCACCTGATGCGCCCCTCCTCGCGCCGGCGGAGCTGCCAGTCGCGGCGCAGCACCTCGGCGATGGCGCCACGTTCCTCCTCCGTCAGGAAGCTGAGGTCCAGCAGAGCCTCGGGCCCCGGCTCCAGCGCCATGGTGGGGTGGGGGGACAGGGCACCCCAGGGTGCTGCCCGGGGTGGGTGCCGAGAAAGTAGGGGTTCAACGTGCCGGGCATGCACCAGCGATGCCAACATCTGGAGAGGGATCTCGGGGCTGCTTTGGGGTGAGGATCATCCTCACCCTCTGCAAAGAGAGGGAGAAGAAGCTCAGTGTGAACACACACCCCACACACACACACCCTAAAACACCCCCGGGACCCCCCCACACCAAGGTGGGGGCACAAAGTGAGGGGTGGGATGATGCCAAGGGAAGGGGGCAGGGGCAATCCTGCTGGAGGGTGAGGGAAGCTCTTGCCACTCCTCCCGCTGCCCGGCCCTGTGCCAGGGCCAGCCCTGCCGGCATCCTGCCCACGGCCCGTGTTTGCCCAAGGTGTTTGCCCAGGGCCAGCTCTCCCACGGCTTTCAGCAGGTGCCACAGGCCCGAAACGGGTGGCAAAAAGCGGGGTTCAAATACCCTCCCCCCTTCGATGGGCTGAGACCCAACCGGGCTGAGACCGTGCTCAGCTCATCACAGCTCCCAGGGCAGAGGGTGCGGCCAAGGGGCTCTTGCCCCACTGCCCGGCGTTGCCTCACTGCCTTCCCTGGGCCCGGCGTTGGGCAAACGCTGCCCGGGGTGGGATGCCAGGGCAGGAAATTGCAGCGGTGGTGGGACGGGATCTGTCCTGCCCGGCCCCTGCCACCATGGGCCCCCCAACCGGGGGGCTCCCACCTCCACCATGGGGTCCAACCTCCACCGTGGGGCTCCCACCTCCACCACAGGGTTCCCACCTCCGCCATGGGGCTCCCACCTCCGCCATGGGGCTCCCACCTCCACCATGGGGGTCCCACCTCCACTGTGGGGCTCCCACCTCCACCACGGGGCTCCCACCTCCACCATGGGGCTCCCACCTCCACCATGGGGCTCCCACCTCTGCTGTGGGGCTCTACCTCCACCATGGGGGTCCAACCTCCACTGTGGGGGTCCCACCTCTGCTGTGGGGCTCCCACCTCCATCATGGGGGTCCAACCTCCCCTGTGGGGCTCCCACCTCCACCATGGGGGTCCCACCTCCACCATGGGGTCCAACCTCCACTGTGGGGGTCCCACCTCCACCTTGGGGCTCACACCTCCACCATGGGGGTCCCACCTCTGCTGTGGGGCTCCACCTCCACCATGGGGGTCCAACCTCCACCATGGGGCTTCCACTTCCACCATGGGGCTCCCACCTCTGCCATGGGGTCCAACCTCTGCCGTGGGGCTCCCACCTCCACCGTGGGGGTCCAACCTCCGCTGTGGGGCTCCCACCTCTGCTGTGGGGCTCCCACCTCCACCATGGGGCTCAGACCCCATTGGCTCTTGTCCCCAGCCCTGAAGGTCACTCTGTCCCTGCCCCATAGGTGGCCCTGTCCCCAGCCCCACAGAGGGTCCCATCCCAGCCCCACCAGGTGCCCTTATCCCAGCCCTGTGGGTCCCTGCCCCATAGGTGGCCCTGTCCCCAACCCCACAGAGGGTCCCACCCCAGCCCTATGGGTGCCCTTATCCCAGCCCTGTGGGTCGCCCTGTCCCTGCCCCACAGATGGCCCTGTCCCTGCCCCACAGATGGCCCTGTCTCAGCACTGTCCCCAGCCCCATGGGTGCCCCCATTCCAACCCCAGGGTGGGGGGGGGGGGTGTCACAGACATCCCCCAACACTGGGGACCCCAGCTCAGGATCTGGGGGTGCCAACCCCACCCCACACCCCCCCAAAGGGCAGCACCAGGGACCCCCCCACACATCACAC